CCGCTCTCTGGCTGAGCTCAGGGAGCGGACACTTGGCGGGCTGTTGGCGCGGTACGTGCCAACTTGAAAGATGCAAATAACGCCCGAACACCTGAGGCTTGAAATCGCAGAGCTGGGGTGTCTTTGATACTCCCTGTGTTGAGGTCGGCCCCACGCCCTGTGGTGACACACGCTGCAGCGCTGCGCCTGCACAGGCTCGCGCCCAGGTATGTGCGAGGCGCGGAGCCGGCTGCGGCCAGTTTCACTGGGCTGCGAGGCAGGCTGGGCCGAGCCAGTTTCCCAGGAGCTCGTTAACCGCCCTACCCACCTCGCCCCGCCCCATTCCACCCGCCCCACCCCGCCGCACCCCACCAGCGCTCTGGCTCTGGTGACCAACCTCTTCCCACATTTGTTCACATAGAGGTACCAAAATAGAAGGCTTTCAGAAAGGGGTGTCTGGTTACACATCACATACGGCTGTCAGCCGCCAGCTTGGGCCAAAGTCATAGAAGCTGCATTTCCCAACCTGCTGTGAAAGTATGAGCCGCGGACAATCAAAAGGAATTAGGTTCTGTGATGGGGAGACGTAATGAAAAGGTAACAAGGAAATTATGTGAATATTGTTTGCATTAAACTTTGTACAGTGTTCCCGATGGTTTACCTTCCCCCTGCCACCGCCCCCTACATCGTTATATGTTTAGCAAGCTCCCCAAACAGTTGCCTAAGATGAAATTTTGGGCTAGAATGGTGACTGGCATTGACATTTAGCTCAAAATTCAAATTTACTCCAAAGTTCAAACTTTGCATTAGGGAGAGTGCCTGGCAAGGTGAGGCAGACTGATTTCCAAGTACCAAGTATGAAATCAAATTTGACATCGGCTCTGTGAATGTAGTAAATTAACTAGCATGTACGTATTCTACTGCCCTCTCGTGGAGGTAGACGGAATGGGAGTTAATGCCCTTTGCGGTCTAAGAATAGAGTATTTAGCAGTTGTGTTACTCTGATGACAAGGTTTCCAAGGTAAAATGAAGTCAGGTTTTCTAAGGGCCTTACAAAGACTCCAGCAGACCTGGTTTCTGAACATCAACGTCAAAAACCAGGAGATGATTCTTACACGAAGACTAGTACGAACTCGTTGGACTCACACCTATGCTTACGGCTACCTGCAGAGTGTGTGGAAACATAAAAATTGACTTGATTTTTTCCCATTTGAAACGCCATTACTCAATGATATGTTTTGGAAAGTGCTTATTCACATTGGTATCCACATGCCTTTTACCTTCACGCTATGAACAATCGGAGAAGAGTGAAATTTTATTTCTATTGCTCTGATGTCTACAGTAATCCCCCCAACACTTTGGAAGTGTGGTTAGTAATTAGGGACTTGAATGAAATACCAACCCATCCACTAGGTGGCCACAGTTGAATGTAAGAACGGATTGACCAATTGGAATTCGACCTGACATCCACCTGTTTATGTAACTGTGCTAAGTGACATCATTTGAAATGTTGATTGTATTGTCAATTCATATCCTTAAAGTCAAGAATCCTTTCGGAAGATAAATTCTCCCTATTCCTAACCACAGATTTTCTTTGTCCTGTTTTTGTCAAGAAAGCCACTCCCAAGTAAACCCAGTCAAAAGGACATTTCAGTGGTCTAACTGCCTTAAGCAAATTTAAACCAAAAGCCTGGCTTTTCCCAGTAACAAGTCACAGCTTATATTTTTGCCCAGCCTTAATATGTGTTTTGTCTGAAAGTGAGAGCTTTTGGAGTAAGATATACCACAATTCCCGTTTCACTCACTAGTGCAAGTGATTAGTTCACTGGTCTTCCCCTGAATGGCGTTAATAATGTCTACTTTATAATGCATTTGGTACGTTAGTACTTTATAAAGTAGATGTTAAAAGAATTAAATGATATCATGTCAGTGGAATACTTATTGTAACATACTCCTTGATTTGTAATAAGATTATAAAGCAGTAGCTGTTAGTTATAATTTCAACTCCACAGTGAAAATCCCACCCACCCAGATTGCTACTTGGTTTATTTTAATCTGTTGATTTAAGACCCTCAGCAATTAGATTAAGCTCATAACACCAGGTTTCATAGCGATAGGCCATGCGGATTTGGGCTACATTTGTCCTCCGGATATCATTTCCAACAGGGCCTTCCTCGAGGTAATTGCTGCCCAGGAACTTTGCTTTCTCCTACAAGAAAAAAGAAGAATGAGTACTGATTCTTCTTACTCTGATATAAACAATAATTGCATCCACCACAAAGCTTCCTCCATGTGAGCCATTGTCATTATTCAGTCTGCTTAGAAATAAAGTGTATTTTCATAATGGAACATTACTCAGCAATTAAAAATGATAAACTCAAGCCACTCACAGCAACGTAGATGGAGTTGGAATAGATTGTGCTCACAAAGAAAAAGAAAAAAAAAGAAAAATATTGGGGATGGTCTTATTTATAGGAGGATTGTAGGGGACCCAAATCAGGGGATAATAACTGTAACAAAGTAAAAACCAAAATCAATGGGCAACTATAATCCAGAGACATTCTTTGGTGGGGGGCAGAAAATTATTTTAAAATGAGTGGGAAGAGTACACGGGGTGATGTGATGGTGATGGGTGAACTGTTGGTGGGAATGCCTTCAGGACCATACATGAGTGCATGAAGCATACACTGTATGAAAATGAAGAAGGATGTCAAAAAAACTATCTGAAATTTTAAAAAGGAAATCAAGTGTATTTTAAAACTTGCAAGCTGGTGGTGCAGCGGGTTAAAGCACAGCACTAAGAAGCTAAAGCCACTTCAGCATGAGTTCGATCCCCACCCCGGAGGTGACCACATGGCGCAGCAGACCTCTCCTGACCCGCCTGCTGCTCCCCTCAGCAGTGTGTTTCAGTACATCTGCTTGTTCTGCTCCCCACTCTGTCTCTGGGGAATCCTCTCACCCCCTGCACCTCTGGCCTATATCCCAGTTCTTGTATGCAAAAATAAATAAATTTTCAAAATAATAAAATAAAAAATAAAACTTGCCAGCTGACCATAGATCAGAGGCATACAGCAGGGGAGGGTGGATGAGGGGTCATAACCGGGGGAAGAGTGCAAGGGTCACAGGTGCTGTGAGAATTACAGGGACCAGCTTAAGGGAGAAACCATTAGCGTACAAAACAATGGACCATTTAAAGAAAAAAAAAATCAAATGTTTTTATTCCCCTTGCCCAGAAGGGCTCGAGAGAGAAATAACTCCTTCTGCTCCCTGTCTAAAATAACTACATTTGATTTGTGGGATAATTTTTCCTCATATGTCTCAATATTCAGTCTCCAGACCCTACAGTCAGAGGGCAATGGTCAAGGACAGGTCTACCTCATGAGAGATTCCACACTGCAGCACGCTGTTCCTTGCCACTTCACACATATCACAGGTGCTCAGCTTGAAGACTTGTGCAGCAATGGCGTATTCTTCCATTAGTGGCTCCTTCAGTTATTTATTTCAATGAGGGGGAAAAAGAATGTATTAAACTAAGATGTACCCCCTACAAAAGGAATAATGAAATCTTGATTTGGCTTTAAAATTCCACTGGGAAAGCTTCCCTGGTGGTGCAGAGATTAAGTCTCAGTTCTCTCACCACTAGGCCCTAAGTTCGATCCCCGGCCAGGGAATGACTCACATGGTTCTCTCCTGTCTACCCTCTGCTCCCCTCAGTAGGGTATTTCCCTCAGTCAGTCTGTTCTACTCCCTACTCAGTCTCTGATGAGTCCTCTCATCCCCATACCTCAGGCCTGTACCCCAATTCTTACATGCATAAATAAATAAAAATAAATCTTAAAAAAAAAATAAAATTCCAGTGGGAAACCACAGTATAGCAATATGCTCTTGCATTGCTCACAAATTTATATTTATACCTTGGTGAAATGGAATTGCATCGGGTCATCTGTAGATAGTGAGATCATTAGCCCTTTCTGCAGGAAATCCAAAAAAGGATTTTTGGCATATTCTAGAAATAGGCTGTTGTTGCTTAACGGTGACATAGCGATGGGAATCTGGGCTAAGAAAAACAGGTACTGCAGCACAGGACTCTGAAAAGGAGAAACTGGTTTAAATGTAAGGATGCTGGAAAAGGAGTAACAAGCTAGAAATGTTAAAACCCCACGGTCAGGGCCCTCCCTGGTGGCGCAG